AGTGAGCTACTAGATCATTAGAAAAAAAAAGTGTCCTCTTCTAGCATCCCTATATTAATTTACATTTTTTCTGGTTTACTAAAATAATGCTCAAGACCCAGAGGCCACCAGACCAGGCATTCTGGACAAACAAGACATGCAAACTTTGGCCACTCGGAAGAATGTTTAAAATTAGATAATCTAGAGAGTGCCATTTGTTTCTGTGTGGATCAAGAGCTGAGAATGATTTTTAGATTTTAAATGGCTGAAAAATATCAAAAATATATATATATATATTGAATGGCATGTGAAAATTAATTGAAAGTCAAGTTTTATTGTAATACAGCCACACCCATTAGCTTATGTTACATATTGTCTAGGGCTGCTTTCAGGCTACAAAGGCAGAGTTAAGTAGTTGAGTCAGAGACCATATGGTCCACAAAGCCTACAATATTTACTATCTGGTCCTTTACAGAAAAATCTGGCGGACCCCCTGATCTAAAGTCTGGCTTTGACATTTAGAAAAACCCGAGATGGATAAAAGATAAGAGGAACTTTGTGAAAAGTTATCTAGGATCGGTGCAATCAGGATCAGTCAATTTCTTGGCCAAATATACCTGATCAAGGCTCTGTTGAAGCTGCAAGCAGATCTTTCTAGCATAGTTAATTTGTCCCTGGGAAATGTTACTCAAAAAGCCAGGGAGTGAAGAGGACACTGAAAGACACGAAAAACTCTCTGCAAGACTCCAAACAAGAAGTAATATTCAATTCCACATGAGTTGAGGTGGGAAAGAGTGGATTTAAAGGACAGAGAGAGTTCAATGAGGGTTCACTTACATTTCTTCCCTCACAAAAACCTGGGGTGAGAGAGGGAATCAAAGCCATACTTATATAAAATTCGCCAAGAATACTAAATTGGGACATATTGTAAACATCAGTGACGATGGTGTAATTCTTTGAGTCCAGAATGTAAACTACAGTTTCAATTTTATGATGTGTACCAAACAGCACTCCATGTGTACAAAACAAATGGATGTACAATCTCCAACGTTTTACTAGAAAATGTCTGAAAAATAGTAAATTCTTGAGCACACAGAGCACATGATGAACTAATTAACCCTCTTTGAAACATGATGTGGTAGAGATGGGGATTTATGTCCTGATTGTCCAGATGAGAAAATGGAAAAGAAAGGAAGTTATCCAACTATGGTCACAATGCTGGGGGAAGGGGGAATCTCGGAGTCCTGAATTTTAACCTAGCCCATCCATAGTGCACTTTCTCAGCTGCCTCTATCCTCACCTGAAAATTGATTTTTAAAAGAATGGGAGCTAGGGTTCACCAACTGTCAAGAAGGCAAAATCAAAAGTGCATATAGGTAGAAACACATGTTTGTTTGCTAATGTAATAGTTTTGACAGTGATGATGTATATAATTTGTAGAACCATCATAAAAAGTCAAAGCTAGAAAGGCATATTAAAAATATTTAGGGGCACCTGGGTGGCTCAGTCTATTAAGCATCCGGCTCTTGGTTTTGGCTCAGGTCATGATCTCGGGGTCATGAAATCGAGCCCGGCATCGGGCTCCACACTGGGCGTGGAGCCTGCTTGGGATTCTCTCTCTCTTCTCCTTCCCCCCACTCAAGCTCACACTCTCTCTCTAAAAAAAAAAAAAAAAAAAAAATCTAGCTTAAGTCCCTTATTTTACAGACAGAAAATTTATGTCTAAATAGGAAAATTAATTATTCAAAGCCAGACAACTAAAACCCCTCTGAGCCCGTACTTCTGTGTATGGGCATCACCTTCCTTTGATTTCCTGGCCTTTTAGATGGCATTCAACATGCCTTCCCTTGTCACCTCCCTGCTCATCCCATCACCCCACCAACTAGCTGATTCTCCTTATGCCTGTTTCTAGCCCACAGAACATCCTCCAACTGCACGAGCATGTATGCACATGCGCACACACAGACACAGACAAACACTGAGTTTTCATCAGCCAGATTTTAGTGATTTTACCCCCATGGCCTAGCATCATCATTTTTTTTAAATCTCAAAATATGCAGCTACCTCCCTGACTAGCCTAATCGTCACCCCAAACTCTCAGAATCACTGACAATGAGAAAATGTGGGGCTCCCTCCTCTTCCTTCTCAATAGGAAAACCTGGCTAGATTACAATTGACTCTGTGCTGAGCCTTGCACCAGTGACAGCATTAAAACCTCATGCTTTATGAACTACCAAAGCTAGAAATGGATTTCTGTCTGACGTGCCAGGCTTTTAAGTCTTGTACCTGTGCCCAGTCTAGAGATTTCTGAAACCATGAATAAAGTGGTAATCAACACTCTGAATACTCAGTCTGACTTAACTGACAACAAACAAATGAGGAAAAGAAAGATTTGTGTTCCTACTCTCTCCAAGACAGGTGGAATTCCAAGTTTCAACAAGGCAGATTCAGAATCACTTTCATAAAGGCCATTGGGGTGATAAGGACACATTGTAAAAATGGGGGAAAAAAACAAATCAATAAATGTTCTCTGTGGATAATAAGACAGCCCCTTGCCTTCAAACGGAGATAATGACAGAAGTAAACTCCAGCCAACAAGCTTTACAGGTGGGAGGAGAAAGAAAAATGCCTTTTTTTTTTTTTTGCTTTGCTTTGTTTTTCTTGTGTGTGTGTGTGTGTGTGTGTGTGTGTGTGTGTGTTTAACCACCTTCTATCCCTCAAAGGACTCAGGACTGGAACCTGGGGTTCATATTCCAAAGGAACCAAGGGGTTTGTAGCCTTTCAAGAAATCCATTTGTGGCTTTCTGTACTTTAAGCAGTCGAGAGTATTTGGCCCCATGAGCTCAGAGGCTCATTTTCTCAAAGAAAATATTACCAAGTTTCCCTAACTTAAGCAATTCTAGGGTCTAGAGCATTTTGAGATCTTGCTGGATTTCCCAGTATTCTGTATGTTGAGTGAGTACCCCTTTCCGCTTCTTTATTCTCAAATAGCACAAGACCCACATCTAGCCCAGCTCCTCCCAGGAAGCCCTGACAACTGCCATTCTGCCCTTCTCCCTCCTTCAGCCCTAACTTCGGCAGAAAGCTCCCATGTGGGATATGTTATGACAGCAAAATAGTCCTTTTTACAATACGTTTGATCACTTTCCCAGTTTTCCAAAAATAACAATATTGTGACCCAGATTTGTAAAGCCCAGAGGCAGCATCAACTACAATCGAATCGATCTGACTGTTGAGTTTGCTTGTTCAGTTGCGTACTTGAACTCTTTCCCCAACTGATACGGCTGCTATTACTGGGTGCCTGGGCTTACTGACCCACCATCCCTAGATGAGGGCTCTGGTATATTCTCTGCTCTACAGGCAGGGCCTACTGGATGCTGGGGTTGGGGGAGGAAGCACATTCTCACTGGGGAAACTGGGGGGGCGGGGGATCTGCTGTCTTTGGGCTGTTCCTCACTTTCTTTTCTGACAGCCATCCTTCTGTAAGTACTCTTAAGAAAGGCAGGAACTGCTTTCTGTGTCTCTTTCTAAACCGCCCAGGTCTAGGTACTGGGGCCCTGGACCTTATACTAGCTCAGCACAAGCAGTAGCAATAGGCCACTTGGGGGTAGGAAGGAACATGCAGCATGTTTTCAGTAACACTAAAAGCTAGCTCTCTCCTTGTTGCTTTGGGGACTGGAAGAAAACAAAATAACAATTTTCTGTTTTGTAAGTATTCCTGCCACCAGTCTAAAATGATGAAAAGGCAACCATTCCAATTGGCTGTCAATGGAAAAACCAGTAAAGGACCTGCTTTGCACCTTTTATCTAAAGGCTAAGAACTGCTTGGAGCTTCTGTTGTCCTCTGGTGGATGTTTCCGGTGAAAGGTGTGGCTTATATACCTGCCACTTTTAAGAGTGTCCTCAGGGTTTGTAGCCCTTAACTAAGGCAAGACTGTTTTGGTTCTGACTTGGAACTCAACACCTCTAGGCCAGTGAGAGAGAAGGAAAGGTTTTGGCAGGAAGTATTTCCTTTGTGGAAAGTGGAAATAGGAGTAGATACTGGTGTTTGGCAACTGGGTTTGCCCCCAGAGCAGAGCATCTCTGTCTAGGGGCTGCTTATCAGTGTCCCCTTGAGAAAAGAAGCCCTTAGTACAGGATGGGGAATGAAGAGGATGAGTAGGAGGTCTGAGCCCAGGTTGATTGGGAAGGAAGGAATCACTAGCATATATGGGAAGTCTGGAAATGGGAGTTCTTGCTGTAGCATGTAGGCTGAGCACCTCTAGGAGCTGATCAGACATGAATGGTTCTAAGCTAAGTAAGACTAAGGAGCCAGGGCTTGAGCCTGCTTAGCCAAATATAAGATGCAATTTAGCATGAGGTGCTATACCAATGGATAGGCCCTGAGGAAAAGTCTATGGAGAGAATAAAGGAGTTTTTATCACTCGGGCTCCCTATTTACCTAGGGGCTATTGATGCAAAGAAGTCCCAATGAGCCAGCAGCAGGAGGGAGCAGGCGCCCAGACTGATGGTCTGCTGAACAGCAAGAACACTTCCTTTCTGGGGCTGAGGCCAAGGAGACTTTGTGAAGGAACACTCCCATATACACTATAGAGAATGGGTGGGGACTCAGTTGGGGTTTCTCCACTTCTAACTTCTCTAATCAAGACATTTTTCCCCCTCACTACACAGCAGAGTGAAACACAAACAGGGAAGGAGTTAAAACTTTTCGAATCATTTATTTTCTTCCATTCCTAAGACTGCCCCAAGCTCTAAGCACCAGATAGGATCACCGTCATTGACTACATTGCCTGTACTACCAAGGTTGCCAAAACCAGGGGACCAGCAAATTAGAAAAAAACAAAAAACAAAAACAACAACAACAACAAAACCTTCTTCTTCAGGTTTTTAGGTTCTTTGAGAGGGTCCCACCAGTGACCTTGTCTCTGAGATGATAAAATCCTGGGCTCTGGAAGATTGGTGTCTTTCTATAGAAGATAAAGGAGAGAGGGAAAAAGAAGTGAGTGTGCAAGACCCTTTACCTTCAGCGGCTCTTTTAAAGAAGACTTTGCAGCTTCCACAAGTGAGAGCTCCATAGTGACAGCCAGAAGCTTCATCACCGCAGATCAGGCAGGTCTTCTGGGGTGGAAAGTAATAGTCAATGGGTAGAACATGGTCCCTGGCAGTCTCCAAACTGAAAAGACACATGAGAAACAATGCAATAAATGGCAGTGGCTGGCAGAGATAAGAGCACAGAAGTCTGAGGTCTTCAGGAGTAAACTTACATGTGTAAATTATTAATTTTTATAAAATAAAATTATTCCTTACTTAATTGAGTCAGTGTGAAGCTGATTTTTCTGGTACTTCTAGGGATGATGTTTGTAGGGTTTCCTGTCATGTAGACAGAGCCTTTTTGCATCCTGCTAAGGAATTCAAGAAGTTCTCTGGGATCAGCCAGTCTCATGGGCTAAGTTTACATGAAGGAAGGATGAAGACAGAAACCTGAGGTTAAGGTATCTAACTTAAGGTGGCTCTGGCAAAAATTTCAGAGCAGTTAAATGGTATGAACCCAGCTCTATGGCCTTCCCTTATCCAAAAGGAGATCTAAGGCAAAACAAGTCTTAGCAAAACAGTTTGGCATGCTTTGCTCTGAGCCTCACTCTCACCTGTCAATAATATTGCCCATCCTACTGAGCTACTGTTCTGAGTGGCAGTATAAATTGTATAAAAGGATAAAAATCCTTTAAAATGAATACACAAGTGAGGGATCACGATTCGTGTTATCATACCAGTCTGATTTGGTCTTCCCCTCCCCCCCATTCCTTCACTTTCCTTAGCCATCTCTTGTAGATCACGTGAACATCCCCTCACCATTCTACAACACAAAGTAGCAGAATCCTTATCTTTTTAAAGATTTTATTTATTTATTTATTTGACAGAGAGAGACACAGCGAGAGAGGGAACACAAGCACAGGGAGTGGGAGAGGGAGAAGCAGGCTTCCCGCTGAGCAGGGAGCCTGATGTGGGGCTCGTCGATCCCAGGACCCTGAGATCATGACCAGACATTTAACGACTGAGCCACCCAGGCGCCCCTGGCAGAATCCTTATGGCTGAGGCTCTTGTTGGGAAATGATACACAGGGATGCTGGAAATTTCTCACACTACCATCTCAACACTTGGCCATTAAAATACTCATAGGGTCTTTAGGCTAGGATGGAGCTTCAGGGGTCACCTAGTCTAAACTTCCTATTTCTTCTAAGCATAGGTCACATTTTTTTCTCTCCGATGCTCTATGTCTAAGCATTGAACAAAACTCGAGGGGGGCGCCTGGGTGGCTCAGTCCTTAAGCATCTGCCTTCGGCTCGGGTCATGATCCCAGGGTCCTGGGATCGAGCCCCACATCAGGCTCCCTGCTCAGCAGGGAGTCTGCTTCTCCCTCTCCCACTCCCCCTGCTTCTGTTCCCTCTCTCGCTGTGTCTCTGTCAAATAAATAAATAAATAAAATCTTAAAAAAAAAAACAAAACTCGAGGTACCTCCTGGGTTAATCTGCCTAAGGTAGATGACAATTGCCCATATTCTCATCTACAGGAATGCAGCCATATTTTTTTATGAGCACTTTTTCCTTACTAAGGAAGGAAGGAAGGAAGGAAAATAAGCCTTAATTTAATGACAGCCTACTTGCTGTGTTGGGTGATTTCTACACTTCAAAACAACTCTGAGAAACATTTTTTTTTTCTCATTATATCATATGAAGAAAGATTCAGAGAGGTGAAACCCCAAATGATTTGACAGCAAGCCCAGGATCTCTGGCTCCGAATCCAATACAGTTTTCATTACCTTATCATCTTCCTGCCATTCTCTCACTTTCTACACATGGCTCTTTGATTATCATGCTCAGCATAGTCATCAGAATCCAAAAAATAAATAATCCGAAAAAGCATGAAATGTTATCCACCCCTCAATAACCATGGATCAGCCCTGGCAGGGCAAGAGCAAAGAAAATTTTTGCTTAAGCCATAGCTGACAAGCACTTTACCTCTAAGACACAAATATTAGCCTTTATTCAAGTCCCAAGTACAACAGAAAGCACTCAAAAAGTTTGGCTGATATGCAAACCCAGCAGCTGGCTACGGTGGCCTATCTTTTCCCCCCGACAAGCTCTCCTTTTCCTAATTTGACTTTGGAAAGCCAGCAGGAGTTTGTCCACCAAACCAAGACTAGCAGGACCACAAGTTCCACAGGAAAATAGCTTACTTCCCATATATAAATGGGCCAAATGTTAAGAGCATCATTCCTTTGGCTAAAAATGTCATTTCCTTGGGTAAAAAATGTATCCCCATCCTCATTCATGAAACAAGGAGAAGCAGAAGTTTTTTGTTTTTATTTTTGCAAGTGTCTTCATCCTTTTCCCTCTTTTTTTGACTTCTGGAACTAATGAAAGCCATTCAAATAAAGTAAAAAAAAAAAAAAAACACAAAACATGTATTTAGGCACTTTATGTACCCGGCCATTTCATATATATCATCTCACTTAATCTCCCCCCAAAACCCTGCCAGGTAGCTCCGTATCATCTCTATATTGTAGGAAGAGGAAGCTGATGTTCAGGAAAATTGAACATGTTCAAGATCACTCATCTCATAAGTGGGAATGCCAGATTCCATCCTAGGTAAGTCTGACTCCAAGGTGCCGATTCATAACCCATGACTAACCATGTTATAAAATTGAAGGTTGAAATTAGATTGACTCAACTCCTAGCACCTAGCCCTATGAACCAAGCAAAGGGCTAGGTGCTGGGGATATCATGACAATCGATATATTATTCTTGCCTCTAAGAAACCGACTATCTAGTAGAGAAGACAGACAGGAAGCAAGAAACTGTAAAATAACATAGTAGATGATATAATAAAGCAGAGTACAGATTGCTGCAGATGAGGAAGCACCTTAAAGACACGAATGTTTCTTGGAAGGTATAAAGGTATATACGGGTAAATGAGATGACGATGATAATGACAATAATTTTTATCATATGATTGGAAAATAAATATTAGATATACAATATGGAAACCTGCACAAATAAGAGGTCTTTTTGAAAAGAGCCTTTAAGGAACAGAAATTTTCATCCATTTTAAAATACAGTTCAAATTGTTCAAAATAATCTAATCAAATTTATAATCAGTGCTTAAAGACTGAAGAAAGTCATCAATATTTTATTAGATATAAGTTTAATAAAATGCACTATTTACAAAAATAACTATAAAAGAGGAGGAAGAAGAAAAAGAAATAATAAAGACAATTTTAGAATCTGAACTTTTCCTAATTACAACCCATTTTGACTAAAGGATATCTGTTAAACTCTCCAGGCTGGTGTCTGCCTACCTACCCCTCCTTTTTCTGGCAAAATATTTTGGATAGCACTCTCACTGAGCCTGGCCTAGGGTGAACAAAAGGCACATTTCAGTTCTGCCTCATGGGCTGAACTTTGGGTATTGGAAATGAAAATTGCAACCAGAGTCCCTATCCCAGGTTTATATCCTAGAGAAACTCATGCATATTTGTACCGGGAAGCATGTGTGGGAATGGTCATAGCAGCTTTATTTACAAAAGCAGAAATGATAAACATCCACTAAGAGGGGGCGCCTGGGTTGCTCAGTCGTCAAGCGTCTGCCTTCGGCTTGGGTCATGATCCCAGGGTCCTGGGATCGGGCTCCCTGCTTGTCGGGGAGCCTGTTTCTCCCTCTCCCCACTCTCCCCTCCCTGCTCCCCCCTCCCCCCTCCCCCCTCATGCTCTCTCTCTCTCTCTCTCACCATCTCTCTCTCAAATAAATAAAAATCTTTAAAAAAATCCACGCTCATTCAATAAACCACAATTCAGCAATGACAAGAAAGAGAATACAGGTACACATAGGTAAATCTCACAAGCTAATGTTGCATAAAAGACATAAATCACAATAGCCTACATATGATATGATTCCATTACATACAGTTCCAAAAAAAAGGCAAAAGTAATCAATATATATTTTGGGAATATATATCTATATCTATCTATCTATCTATCTATCTATCTATCTATCTACCTACCTATCTACCTATATAACATAATAATCTACATAATAACATATTCACGCAAGGGAATAATAAACCCCAAATATAGGATAGTGGTTATTTCTAAGGGGAGACTGTGGTTAATGATATAAGGAAGGAGGATACAAGCTGATTTATGCATTCATTTAAAAATATTAAGTGTCTATCACATACGAGGCACCATACCAGGTCCTGGAGTTAGAGCAGTAAACAAACAAAAACTGGTTTTAATGCTCTTATTCTTTAATCAGGGCTCATGAGTGTTCATTTTATTATTATGCTGTATAACTAACTTATATGATACACGCATGCTTTGTATGGCTGTAACAGCACAGTGAAAGAAAAAATAACAACCTGAGAAGTTTCTAACATCATCCTAAATAACAGCCTAAGTGCAAGAACAGCAGAGGTTTGCTTTGAGAACAAGTAAGTTCAGAATTTGCATGCGACATCTGTATTTCTTCTTGCCTCCCCTGGGTTCCATGCTCACTTATTATACCTATGCAGGACATTCAGCTTTATGAGTCTGAAGGAAAAGCACTGCCATAAAAAATGGAAGTTTCCCAAACCAGAATACCACTTGCTTTTCCTCAACAGTTCCACAATTAATTAAATAAAAGTGGATTACTATAAGCTATAGGACTACAAATGCCAGCTCACCTATGGGGAATTTAGGCTCAGAAATCTTCAGCACCGAGCTATCATCTCAGTCTGTCTCTCAGACTTGAAAATACATTAAAGTGTCTGACTACTTTAAGCAAGTTCCCCAAGGATTGTGGAACCAAGGTGAGATGCAAAAGTCACAGACTAGTTTTCCTTGTTTGGAAGATGAATGTCAACTAAGCAGGGCTTTGGAGCCCGGCAGAGCTGGGCTGGAATCCTGCATCCACCACTGAACCTTGGTCCCAGTCATTAAGGCTCTCTGAGCTCTATTTGTCTCATCTGGAGATTGGGGATACTTTCTAACCTAAAGGGCTTTTGTGAGAATTACATTAAATAGTACATGTTAAGCCCTTCCTCCTGTGCCTGGCACATGATAGCTGCATTGTAAGTACAGGTTGCCTTCACCTTTTGCCTTACCATAAAAAAGGGGGAGAAATGACTAATAACCT